CCTAATCTTTCTGAGTGACTTCCTCCGCCGTTTCTGTCTCTGTTTCCCTGTCTGTCTGTCTGTTTCTCTCTCTTTATGTCTGTATGTCTGTCTCTTTCTCTCTCTTTATGTCTGTATGTCTGTCTCATTCTCTCTCTTTATCTCTCTCACTCTCTCTCTCTCTCTCTCTCTCTCTCTCTCTCTCTCTCTCTCTCTCTCTCTCTCTCTCTCTCTCTCTCTCTCTCTCTCTGTCTGACTCTCTCTTTCCTCTTTCTCCCTGTCTCTCTCCTCTTTCTCTTTCTGTCTCTTTCTCTTTCTCTCTCATTCTCTTTCTCTTTCTATTTCTATTTCTCTTTCTCTCTCTCTCTCTCTCTCTCTCTCTCTCTCTCTCTCTCTCTCTCTCTCTCTCTCTCTCTCTCTCTCTCTCTCTTTCTCTCTCTCTCTCTCTCTCTCTCTCTCTCTCTCTCTCTCTCTCTCTCTCTCTCTCTTACTCTCTCTCTCTCTCTCTTACTCTCTCTCCTTCTTACTCTCTCTCCTTCTCACTCTGTCTCACTCTTTCTCAATCTCTCTCTTTTTCATTCTCAATCTCATTCTCTGTCTCTTTCTCTATCTCTCTCCCTTCCATTCAGTCTATTTGTCAGCCTCTCTGCATGTCTCCCTCTCTTTCTTTCCCTCTCTTTCTTTCCCTCTCTGCATGTCTCCCTCTCTTTCTTTCCCTCTCTTTCTTTCCCTCTCTTTCTTTCTCCCCTCTCCTAATCTTCTTACCTGTTTACTAGTTACCTCTCCCACTCAATGTAGAAATTATAAAGGCAAAGTAAAGTCCCAAGAGCCAAGACAGGAAAACACAAAGGTTAAAGCTGCATGGCGAGGGTCTTGATAAGATAATATTAATTAAGTGTTAAGATGTTGATCGTGAGACTTGCAAAAGTGTGAAGATGTGAAGACGATAATAACCAATCAATACACGCACACGCACATGCACATGCACAAGCACACGCACACACACACACACACTCGCACACGCACACGTACACGCACACGCACACGCACATGCACACGCACACGCACATACACACACACACACACACACACACACACACACGCATATGTATATACATGTATATATGCATGTATACATATATAATGTATATATATAATGTGTATATATATATGTGTATATACATAATCGAAATATCGAAGTGATAATAGTAGCTATATCATCATTTTGTTATAAGAATAATCATGATAACACCAAATAACAATGATAAATAGTATTTGCAAAACATCAACATAATCCACACATTCACGGAGGTTACATACCCATTAATGGAGCTGATCATTTTCCTGTAGTAGTCGTCATCCTGGTTAATCCTTTTATGGGCAGGATAGACGAGATCAGCAGGTCAGGCAGGTCAGCAGGGCGGACGAGGCCAGCAGGTCAGCAGGGTGGACCAAGTCAGCAGGTCAGCGGGGCAAACGTGGCCAGCAGGTCAGCAGGATGGACGAGGTCAGCAGGGTGGACAGGGGAGGAGAGCGACAAAGTGTGAGACAGGCAGAGCTATAACATTGACATGACATAAACAATGCAGGAAGAGGTATGTTTAAAGAGGACCCTTCGCTCAAACTCTCAAACCGCCTCGGTGTTTTGCGATTATAATTAAGTTTTCTGCTTCTGGGTGTGATGGTTGTTTTAATTTTTGCGATATTGTGAATATATTTTGAGATTGTGATCCTGTGTGGCATAATCTAAAAAGGCATTCTCTCTCTCTCTCTCTCTCTCTCTCTCTCTCTCTCTCTCTCTCTCTCTCTCTCTCTCTCTCTCTCTCTCTCTCTCTCTCAATTTTTCTTTCTCTCTCTCTCTCTCCCTCCCTCCCTTCTTCCCTCCCTCCCTCCCTCCCTCTCTCCCTCCCTCCCTCCTTCCCTACTTCTCTATCTCCCTCCCCCCCTTCTCTCTCTCTTTCCATCTGTCCATGAATCAATCAATCTATTCATCCCTCTCCCTTTCTTCCTCAACAGGAGAACAGTACCAATCTCGGGGCCAAGCAGCGCTGTGTCTGCCCGAGGCCTTGTGATTCAGAACAGGAAGCAAGCTCGAGTCCACCTTTTCTCTCTCTCACGATAATGGTAGCTTTATAAACGTATAATTTTCTCCTTTGGTCTTTGCTGTTCTGTGTTTCTTCTGGGGATAAGCATTTCTTTATCTGTGTGTACGGTTTGATGCTAATTTGATATTTCTGTCTGTCTGTCTGTCTGTCTGTCTGTCTGTCTGTCTGTCTCTCTCTCTCTCTCTCTCTCTCTCTCTCTCTCTCTCTCTCTCTCATTCACTTCGTTCGTACACGCATGTTCTATCTGGCTTATATGTATTCCGTCTGTATCTGGACGTATATGTTATTTTCCTTCTCTTTTGACGACGAACATTATGATTTGCTGAAAGCTTGAATCGGCAGATCAACTATCGTCTTATCTTGCTTCCAAAGACTAATCAACCTGTTTGTGTTTCGACTCTGCGTAATCAGGCTCCCTTCACCTCCTCTCTCTCTCTCTCTCTCTCTCTCTCTCTCTCTCTCTCTCTCTCTCTCTCTCTCTCTCTCTCTCTCTGTCTGTCTGTCTCTCCGTCTCTCTCTCTCTCTCCGTCTCTCTCTCTCTCTCTCTCTCTCTCTCTCTTTCTCTCTCTCTCTCTCTCTCTCTCTCTCTCTCTCTCTCTCTCTCTCTCTCTCTCTCTCTCTCTCTCTCTCTCTCTCTCTTCCTCCCCTTTGCCCCTTCCCCCTCTATCTGTCTCACTCAGAAAATTTGTTGTGAAACGTCAAATATCAGCATGCAGTTCAAAATATTACTGTAGATAAATTATTTAGGTTTGTTCAGTGGCACTCTATGATAGCCAGACCTTGCATAAAAGTTTCTGAATAGCGAAATATTGCGCCTCATATTTATATCACTCAATAGTTTCTGTGAGTTGTGAAAAACAACAGGAAATTACTATGATTATTATGCGTCTCTCATCTTAGGAAAAGGGATTGCGAATGTAATCAAGAAAGAATCATCTAAATAGAAAGGCTGATGATGGTGATGATGATGATGATGTTAGCGATTATGATGATGATGATGATGATGATGGTGATGGTAATGGTGATGGTGATGATGGTGATGATGATGGTAATGATGGTGATGATGATGATGGTGATGATGATGGCGGTGGTGATGATGGTGGTCATGATGATGATGGTGGTCATGATGATGATGGTAATAATGATTATCAATAATAATGGTAATAATAATGATTATAATAACAGCAATAATAATGATGATAATGATTTATAATAACTATAACAATAATAAAAGGGATAATAATTATTATAATATTAATAATGATAACGTTGATATTAAGGATGATGATGATAATAATGGTAATAATGATAATAACCATAATAATAGTAATAACAATAATGATAATAATAATAATAACAATAATAATAATAATAATGATAATAATAGTAATGGTGGTAATAACAATGGTAATGGTAATAATGATAATGATAACAATAACAAAATTAAAAAATATAATAATGATAATAATAATAATAATAATAATAATAACAATAATGATAATAATAACATCAATTAAAATAATAATATTAATAATGATAATGATAATGACAATGGTAATGTTAATAAGAATTTAAAAAAAACAATAATAATACTAATAAAACCCACCAATGAAAAATCTAACACAGGTAAAATGCTCCATCAGAGGCAACGAGGCAAAGTGAAGAAGAGCTGCTTATGCTCAGAGAGAGAGAGAGGGGGGAGGGGGCGAAGACGAGTAAGAAAAGAGAGAGAGAGAGAGAGAGAGAGAGGGGAGGGGTGGGGGGCAAAAGGAGTAAGAAAAATTGAAAGAGAGAGAGGGGGGGAGGCGAAGATGAGTAAGAAAAGAGAGAGAGAGAGAAAGGTGATGAGTAAGAGAAATAGAAAAGTGAGAGGATGAGTGTGTGTGTAAGTGTGTGTGTCAGAGAGAGAGAGAGAGAGAGAGAGAGAGAGAGAGAGAGAGAGAGAGAGAGAGAGAGAGAGAGAGAGAGAGAGAGAGAGAGAGAGAATGAGAGAGAAAGAGACCGACAGAGAGACAGAGAGAACTGTTTAGACGACTTCCTCATTCCGATCAGTTTCGGAAGATCACCGTTCGAATACACAAAGGCACAGATTCTAGAAATGCTCCCGGTTGTGCATACTCAACAAGACCTATCAAAATTCTCCTGCGCTGTGGGATTTCTGCGTATTTCAGCCAAGAAACACAAGTAGCATCACGAAAAGCCGCGGGAAGAGATAAAGAAAATTTTCTGAAGGAAACGAGATATCGATGTATCATGTATCTGGGTTACCGATGTGTCCTTGCATATCATAAACATCCCAGCGAATGATAAAAACGACCGCTCATATTTTTCCTTACACAATATTTATCTATTTATCAATCTGTCTATTTATATATATATCTATCTATATGACATAACAAACAAAATCAATTTTAACGATAGTGAAAAATAGTTGCAATTAACATCATCATCCTTATCATAACTACAATCCAATACCCTACCAGCAAATCAATGCAAATCTGTGCAAAAAATGCGGTTGCACGTATTGCAAAATGGAATCATAATGGTTCAGTTAGACTTCATTTAAAGTGTCGCGCAGTCATCACACATTTATGATCAAAGACTGAAAAATGAATTCAAAACTGCAGCGCCAAATGGACCGACCGTTGAGCTCCATCAGGCGGAGATCTCGCTTCGCTTCGCTTTTGTTTTTTCCGCTTCGCTGCTTCGCTTTGGCAAATTGGCCCGGGGAATGAGATCACACGCACGCGCGCACGCACGCACGCACGCATGCACGCACACAGACGCACGGGGACACACGCACGCACGCACGCATACACGCACACAGACGCACGGGGACACACGCACGCACGCACGCACACACACACGCACGCACACACGCACGCACGCACGCACACACACACACACACACACACA